TTGAAAACCTGCGTTGGACATACATGTAAAGTTAGCTGAGTTGCGTTCACACTGTACTCTAGCGTACACTCCAGTTTTTTTTGGTAAATTTGAACACCAATTTAGAGATAAAAACACAGATGATCTGTCAAACGTGCAGAAATCAGGCATTTTTTCTTTGTATGGTGGGTCACTTGAACTTACGCTTACAGTCCCTTTATATAAATGTTTGTAATGTTTTTTGTTTGTTTGTTATGTAGTAATGAATCCTCTGTATAGAACTATCCTTCACCCAGATTGACTGGAACACTGTATGAGAACAATACAAGAGAATATTGTGAAATTAGTAGCGTTTACCCTCAACCATTCTTTCTTATACTCAGCCCAGGACCAGATCTGAACTGGGCCTGCTTCACCATGAAATATGATTGGTGACAAGTCTAAAAACATGAATGCTAAGAGGTTTATATATTAAACTGTTAAATGATTTAACCCTGAATATGAGTGTATGGGTATATGATGTATGGTAATGTATGCATGTCTGAGATAAACTGTTGGAAACAAGACCTCCCCCCTTCCCTCCTCACCACCCCATCCCTCTCTTCATCCTCTTGCCCTCCCTTCCGACAACCATGAAAATACTTGATGAATGAGATGAACCAATTGATCCCAATTCAAAGATTTACATGTTTAGTAATGTACAATATTCTATATCTACAGATAAGTTACAATTGTAAATATGTATATGTAATAAATATCTATGTAAACCTTAACCTATCTGTATATATTTATATATTACGTATTAATCACCTGACCGTAGTATCGGTCAGTTTAATCTTAATCTGTACATTATGTCAAAAATATAGTTAGTTGAATATGAACTCTGTTTGATTACGGTCTGAAGTAATATTGCTTGATAATATTGATTGTTCAATAACCTACATATATGCATACAGACAGATGTTCAGTATGTATATAGGAGTTATATTTGTACAATACTCATTGCTGAATCTTATCATGATTTTTATACATATACATTACATACTTTCTTCCATTCTAGTTCCAAATTTTTGCATCCTTGACTTCTTGAATACGCTTTTTTAGTGAAAGATGTTTTTCTGTGTTCACATCTTGGTGATTTAAGAAATTGCAACCTATTTCTACCGTTTTTCGTTTTCAATCCTTAGATTTTGAATTCTGTCGTCTCGTCCTATCATCTTTCTAATCCAATCTAAACTTTTCCTCCCTCTCCCTCAACAGAATCAATCCACAGAATGAATCGCATTTTTGAGAAAAAAGAGAAAAATAAAACCTGGTTCGAGAACTGGTCCATATTAATATTTGCACAAATATATTATTCGTCTGCTGTGTAAAGATATTCAATTTTCCGCTCACCGGAGCAGTTAACCTCAGATTTGTATTTATTGAGTTCTTGTTTAGTGGATATCCCTGGGCTCAGATATGTATATCAATGTCTATAAACCTACGCTTCTTAACCCACGGGAATCCATGGGTTTGAGAGGGGTGGGGGGAAAGTAGGTCCAAGTGGTTTGGGGAAAATGGAAGGATTTATAATTCTCCTGAAAATGTTTTGTTAATGTTTCCCCTAAATTAGTTATTACACGATAATTTAAAATTACCTATAAATATATGCTTACACAGATATTGAGAGGTTCCAGAAAAAATAAGGATTTGATTTAAAACCCTACATCTACCATCTTCAAAACAATTATAGTACTGGTGATTGTATTTCTGAATCCCCCTGTTAGAATTAGTTACTTGTATTTCTGAATCCCCCTGTTAGAATTAGTTGCTTGTATTTCTGAATCCCCCTGTGAGATTTAGTTGCTTGTATTTCTGAATCCCCCTGTGAGAATTAGTTGCTTGTATTTCAGAATTAGTTGCTCGTATTTCTCAATCTGTAAGGATTAGTTGCTTCTATTTCTGAATCCCTCTGTTAGAATTAGTTGCTTGTATTTCTGAATCCTCCTGTGAGAATTAGTTGCTTGTATTTCTGAATCCCCCTGTGAGAATTAGTTCATAAATAATGGCGCAGTAATGAATATATTGACAAGGTTCATGTAAAGATACATTGTTACAAATTACTTTAAGGTTGGCGGGTTCAAACCAAAGATTATTTATGCATCAAGATTAAACAATAACATCCAGTATATTATAATATATATATTAGAATCTTCTCCTGAGCAATCACTGATTATGTCGCTAGATTGGTACATACAGGGTGTCCCACGAAACATGACAATAGCAAGACGACTTGAAAGTCGTCTTTGATATTTGAATTTATTTGTGACATTTAGTCTTCAATCTATGACTTTAACATGTATGATTCTTGAAACAATTATCACATAATTCTGCTAGCCCTGGCATTTCCAAAAAGTGGTCTGCGTTTTTTGTGCTTTCAATATTATCGGAGATATAAAGAGTTTGGTTCAGATTTCAATTTTGTTAAATAAAAGCAAAATTGTCGAAATCTGAACGAAATTGTTCACATCTCGGGCAATATTGAAAGCACAAAAAATGCGGACCACATTTTGGAAATGGCAGGACTAGGGGAATTTTGTGATTATTATCTCTAGAAATTTACTTCTAAAATTAGGTTGACAAACAAATGCAGCAAATTATATCAAAAATCAAGACGATATTCAAGTCGTCTTGAATACTGTCATGTTTCGTGGGACACCCTGTATGTTGTAATGGAAAAGTGAGAAATTAGATTATTAAATTAGACTCAATGAACACCATTCATAATCGTATAAATCAAAAATATTAAGGTACCCTTTTAAAGATGCAAAAAATTTTACTCTGCAGTTAAGATTAAATATTCGAAAAATTGTATGTTCTTAGTGATAGAACGTTACATAGAAATGATGTTAAAGATAGTTGTTTCTTAAATATTTAATTATTTTATCATTCCACATCAAAAATAATGTAAAAAAGGGGTCAAGTCTATTTTTGGCAGAAAACTACGTTTTTTTTATTTAAATTTTTTAATTTGAGGATAATTGGGCGATCCCTATGGTTTAATTATCCGTGCAGGGCATAACCCTCATGGAATATCGAAGAGAAATTGAAAGAATCCGTCTGCATATTACTTACTTACCCAGGGTAAAAATCTTTCAAAAATATAATTTCCTAAGCATTGTACTGATGGGTTTCTTTTATAGTTTCGATAATCCCTCTCTTCTCCTCCTCCTATCCCTCTCTTCTCCTCCTCCTATCCATCTCTTCTCCTCCTATCCCTCTCTTCTCCTCCTCCTATCCATCTCTTCTCCTCGTATCCCTCTCTTCTCCTCCTCCTATCCCTCTCTTCTCCTCCTCCTATCCCTCTCTTCTCCTCCTCCTATCCCTCGATCTTCTCCTTCTCCTATCCCTCTCTTCCCTCCTTCCCCTCTCTCGATCTTCTCCTATCCCTCTCTTCTCCTCCTCCTCTTCCTCTCCCTCGATCTTCTCCTCCTCCTATCCCTCTAAGGAAACTGATTGCACAAGTTATGCGAAAAAAAAATGGCAGATTTTTTGCAAACAACCTGTCAAAGGAAATTTGCACATTTTTAGTTTTTTTTGATTAAAAATCAGGTTATTTAAAATTTTGCAAAATTTTTTCCATATTTGAAATGGCATGGTCAAGGGCTTTTCAAAAATGTATAATTTTTCATTTTTTGGACAAATGTTTTTTGCAAACATTTTTACTATATAACTGGATTTTGCGATAAAAAATTTAATTTTTGCAAATTTGCACATTTTTTTGCAGGTTCTAAAAGTAGAGCACAAGAGCTTTCTAATGATGTATCATTTGTCATATTTGGACATAAAACATGGGATTTAGAGGGGGGGGGGTCAATCAGCATATCCTGGTTTTCAAGTACCCCAGCAGGGATAGGGTTAAACTTATTTCGTAAACACTGAACATCTTTTCTGTAACATTTTATTGTCTCTGCTTCTAACTTTTCTCATTTTTGTCGTAATTCAATCTGTTTATTTATCTTTATGCTCCGCTGAATCTTGTTTCTTATCCTAAACCAAATAAAGATCTTTTTATCTGTTTGATTTATTCTTTTGTCAAAAAATTAATAAACTTTTATTTAAAAAAATGACGGTTTAAGTTAACTGGAGACAATTGACAGAGCTCCATATAGATAAGAATTATCTTTCTCATAAAACAAGACATGTATATATTGTAGGTTGATTATAGCCGACCAAACGGCTGGACCGATTGGGCGGAAATTTTTTGTGGACACTCAGGGGTGGCCGGGGAATGCAATGGGCTAAAAAACATTCTAAATAATTTTTTAAACTTTTTTTAAAATTTTTTATCACGGGCAACGCCAGGCCCTTCAGCTAATGTTACATAAAAAACATTCATAAGTTTAAAGTTATAAAATATTTGGTTTTCAGAAGGTAATTTCACTTTTATCTTAATGCTACTCCCCCCCTCCCCCTCATTAAATCCTAACCATGGTTCAAGGAAATATTTTACCTGATAACATAGAAGCACAGGAAAACATCAATTTAGTTTTTTAGGTTTTTTGGGACTATATTGTATTATTCTAGTTATTATCTGTACTCTAAGGTCTACATAAATCTTGTTCCTAGAAAAGATGTTATATCAAATGCTATGGCCTGAGACTAATGAACAAGGTTGCGATTCAATTTTGAAATCAGTGCTCAGAGTCGTAGTAACAGCAAGGTACAGCTTGTTCTATGACCCGGGCTATTAACCCCAACTCCCCCCCTTTCCCTCCTCCCTGCTCTTGCCGGACTATTTTCTGGGGGCTTCACATAGTACTTTAATCTTATTTTAAAAGTTTAGAAAAAAATTCAACTATAGGAGAACTTGATAAAATGAATAGTTGATTTAGTTTTTAATTTAAAAAACGTAACTCCAACCCCCTGCCCTCCCTGGCCCCTCTCAACCTATGGGCCCACCCCTGTCAGAACTCGCATAGAAACATCAACTCCTCCCCGCCCCCCCCCTTAACCCTAACAATATTGTACACCTTACCCTTAAATTACCAGTTGACCAACGCTCTACACTTTGAGCAGAACTAATATTAACCTTGAAGCTCTCTCTCTCTCTCGCCGACTACTTCGGATAAACTTTTATTTGACTTTCGAATTATATTTCACATTGTTGACAAAATGAAGACTCCTCAAAGCCTTGTAAACATGTTGACCCCTAACTCCTTCCTCCCCCCCGCCTCGGGACCCTACGAGGTTGGGTATGTGGATATCATGACTGAAGGTAAACCTGAGAACTCTTCCTTTCTCCGGCTCTACTATCCAACCCAGCAGAACCATAAGTTCCTACCGGAGAGATGTCCTATCTGGACTGAACACGACACAAAGCATGGTTTCATCAATTTCCTTCAGGTATTTTTTATTCAATATTTATTTTTTTATCAAGATTTGTTTAATTTACACTCTCGGCATTCGATTTAATTTGTCTTTTCTTCGTTGGTTGTTTTTTACAACAAATCTTGAACAGCGGGGTTGCTTACATTGGACGCTCTGAATTATCCTTAAGTATTGATCTGTTTAAAAAACCGTTAAAATAATTGTATTACTGTATAAAGACATCCTATTATTGTATCCTCGACAAAATAGTCTACGGTTTCTTCTCAACAGTTATATATCTTTTTTTGTACACTGTAGAGAGAAGGGCTAAATATCTATTTTGATAGTCGAATTCAAAATGCTAATTTGGGCAATCTTTGTATAACCTCTTAGCGCGAGTGCGTGTGGCGATTAATTTAAAAATAGGTTCGAGGATTTTCCAACCTTAACCATGAATTAATTTACACTTTACATATTTCATTTAAAACACCCTTTGTAGAGAACAATTAGTCCCACCCTCCCACTCCCAGTCTTGTTAATTTTTAAATTTAACTGTTTTAGGCAATGATAAAGCGCTGGCCGTCCTGGGTTAACGACTCCGAGTTCAATATGCTTGGAGTTGTAAGAAGCATTGATTCTCTAGTCTCCTGGGCGTTTAGCCCTGCTTTTAGTCTAGGCTGGGGAGTCCTGGCCAAGAACCCCCGGATCCCAGTTATTCATCAGGCCCAAGCCTCCTCCCCTCAGTCGGGGAAGTGGCCGGTTGTTGTGTTCTCTCACGGTATGGGTTGCAATAGGTACGCGTACTCCAAGATATGTTATGATCTGTGTAGCGAGGGTGTTATAGTTGCCTCGGTAGAGCACAGAGACGGGTCAGCCTGTCATTCAAGATACAGGCTTGATGGAGAAACTAAAGAGATTCCACATCTTCTCTTGAAACCAAGCGAAGACGAGTATACTATTAGAAATAAACAGGTGAAACAGAGAGCTACTGAGGTTTCAAGAGCACTAGATATTCTGGTTAAACTCAACGAGGGATTATCTCCCGACAATATAATTGAACAAGAAGCTGGATACAGCTTCGAACATTTCAAAGGACAACTAGCGGTGGAGGAGCCGTATGTCATGGGACATTCCTTCGGCGGAGCAACAACTATTCTAGCTGCCGGGCAGGATTCTAGGTTCAAAGGAGCAGTAGCTATCGATCCTTGGATGTTTCCTGTTGGAGAACAGGAGTTCATTGTTCGGATTCCTGTTCTCATGTTGAACACTGAACATTTCCTGCATAAGAGTAATGTGGAGAAGGTTCGTGAGGTGTGTACTGATCTCAACGCTAGAGTCCTGGACGGAGCAGTTCACCTGGTTCACACGGATGCCCCGCTTCTCTTTGAGAACGATCTACTGAAAAGCGGATTGGGAATGAAGTGTAGCCGGAATACTGAAGAGGTTTTGGCTGAGAATCATTCGATCATCTGGGATTGGATCTCAAGATCTCTGCAAGGAATGCATATTGAAAAACGTTCCGATTGGGGTTTAATTTGAACCATTTCCTCCTAACCGCTGCATAGCTTTCTATGACTATTATTTATTATGAATATTATGTTTAATCGTACCTTTCATGTTAATTGTACATATTTTGACCGTATTTGATTATAAATACACTAAATTCTTAATTACTTCTTTTATTTTAGTGTGATTAGGAAGTATAGAGAAATTTTAAAATTCCTAGCTTTTAAATCTGTTTCACGAGATTTTTGTCATTTAAATTTAAGATAATTCAGATCATGTTAATCCGGTATCGTGCATAGAAACTTGCATTGGGCGGACTCGCCTTAAGTTTTAACCATTCGAGACTATGTTAGAAAAAACTTTATGACTTTATCCGAAATTAAAACATTTTTTTTTATTTGAAAAACGCGTTAAAATTTATCGTGTCTATAGTAAATATCAATTATTTGACGATTTGAAAGGAAGACGACATTGAAGACGACATTTATGAGGAAATAACCTTTTTTGCCTTTACCCCCTTCAAAATACTTAAAGGACTAAATGCATATTTAATAAAAGTAGACTAATAATTTTTAATGTTTAAACATGGCTTTTTATGTCTACCAGTGTGTTAAAATGATACTTTAGGGATTGAGCCCGCTCCATGCAGTACACCGGTATTATGTCTAAGTATCTAATTATTAAGAGGTTTCCATTTTTTTACTAGAAAACTACAGTCAAATCCTATTTTACTGGAGAAAAGGTATAACACGTACATGAAATTAACCTTTCCCGGGTTTACCGTCAGCCTTGTTAGCACATTTTCATGAATCTAACTAAGAATAAACTTGAGATTGTCAACAAAGATTCATGAGACCCTCCCTTTCAAAAAAGAAGTGTATGTCCGATTCAGAAGGATACCAAGTTAACACTTAGTCAGGGTTAGAATTAAGAAGACATTAACTTGTGTTCCGCTCTAAATTTTGGCCTTAAAAACAGAATTTATCAAGTTGAAAAAATAATGAAGTTGCCGGAAAACTTTTTCACTTAAAAAAACGACTATATCTTCTTTAATGTAACTCTTAAATGTGGGATCACTTGAACTGGTTTATACAGTCTCTTTAAACCGGAAAAGTAGGTTGCCCTAGATCCTATTTCTCCGTGACTAAAAATTATATTCCCGGACGGAATCTTCAAGATGTTGATGATGCAGTTTTCTCCCACAGTTTACAAAATGTAAGCTTCCCACAACATTGGATGAACCCCGGGTGATAAATTAACACGATCCTTGTATCCTCCTAAGCCGGGGATATTTAAAACAACGTTTTTCTCATCTTTTATTCTTGAATTATTCATTTAAACACAGACTAATCTTTTACAACATAATTGTTCCACTTAATAAAAGAAATTGTGCCTATTTATATAAAGATGAACGGAGACTAAAACAAAACCGAAGATAAAAATAAAAGTAAGGAATACTAAAGAACTGTTCACGTTTCTCCGGGTGATTAAAACGACTATCTCCAGGTTGGTTAAGGATTGAAAAGAAATTCCACTCTCCTTGCGTCTGTCAGGTATACAGTATAAACTAGAATATATATATGGTTTATTACAAATTGAACGTTTTAATTTCAGAATAAGGTAAGCTGGATGAAATAACTGTAAGGGGAATGGGATGAATACCTGTAAGATGAATCGGGATGAATGCCTGTAAGATGAATGGGATGAAAACCTGTAAGATGAATAAAATGACAACCTGTAAGATGAATGGGATGAAAACCTGTAAGATGAATAGAATGACAACCTGTAAGATGAATGGGATGAAAATCTGTAAGATGAATAGAATGACAACCTGTAAGATGAATGGGATGAATACCTGTAAGATGAATTGGGATGAATACCTGTAAGATGAATGGAATGAATACCTGTTTGATGTAAGTTAATTGATGAATATCTGTAAGAGGAATGGAATGAATACTTGTAAAATGAATGGAATGAATACCTGTAATATGAATGGGATGTATACCTGTAATATGAATAGGATGAATACCTGTAAGATGAATGGGATGAGTTTCCTCCACAAGGTTTGTCTCCGCATGATAGATTACAAGATTGTTTTGGTCCTAGCGACGAGGAGGATGGATATTCAGTAGAACAACTAAAAATATCATTAATATGTAATAAAAATCCTCCTATTCAAGAAAACCTAAAGAATATCACCAAAACCTTCTGCTCCCCTCAAAAACGAATTAAGACATGTACACCCATAAAACTATGAAATAGGAAGACGACTGTTAAAAATGAATTTTCTAGATACCGGTAAAACATTTTGCTTTATAACAACAACAAAGACACATAAGATTGCTTCAATGTCGTCTTTCTATTCCAGATTTGTATGGGTCTAGATCAGAAGTTGACGACTGACACAATAAATCATATCACAATTAAACTTAATAAACCTGCACTCTAAGGATCTTGAGGTTGGGTTAAGACGAACTCCAACAGTCTTTGCTCCAGGTAGGGTATTCTCACACAAGTTCTGACAGGTCTCAGGGTTCATCCTACTCAACCCCGTCAGTGAAGCACTAAAAAGTGTAATAAAAATTACTTTAACTAATTTTATAGAGATTTCTTTTTAAAATAATGATAACCGATAATTGAATAATACATCGGTGGGCACTATTTTAATATTCTATTTAATGCCTAAAGATTTTTATTTAGAATTATCCTGGATATGCTGCACCTGCACACAAGGCTCAAAGGGACTGTAGACGCAATTTCATGTAACCCTCCATTTGTAGAGTTGCGTGTCCAAATTCACAACCGTTCTCTTAAAATCTTTACTGATCAAGGATGTCGGACTAATATTTATTTAATCACACGGATTTCTGTTCCGTCGATGATCAAACACAGCAGGTTTAAATGGTGCTGGCCTCTTTTTAAATGGGGGGTAGGGTTCAGTTTAAATTACTTCAACAGTCCCTTTACGACCTGACTTGTAGACCAATTTCTAGGTTTCCTTTGATCATGTTATTATATTGTTGTATAACTAAGAGAGTTGAAGGTGAGATCCCGAAATTCGGCTTATATTGGTGTAACATCTTAACTTTGCTAGCAGTGAGGGTTATTTATACACAGGAATAGCGATCCAAAGGTTTGCAACCTCTTTCACAAAAATGGATGAGAATTTTGTCAATTAATTCTTAAACCTTGAAGTGCTTTATGGTTCTAAAGCTACAAAAAAGTATCATGAGTTAAAAGGGGTAAATTAAAAGACTAAAGCGTTGCGATACACAAAGACTTTACTTTGGTTAGTACAGACTGAACAGTACGGTTGAAAGCATTTACAGTACATATTGTACCGGTACGGATCATGCACTCTTAGATTGGAGTGATGTGTGTATCATGCGTAATACCATAATGTTATTTTTCATGTATGTGGGTATTAAATAAAAATTAGTGAACACAATTATCAAACCCATTAAAAAACATATACAGAGTTACACCCACAAACGATGAGACTGCAAAGACGTACCAAAACTTCACAAATTTGACGATTTGAAGCTTGATTTTTTATTTCTGCATGCAATAAAGTTCTCATATGGTTGAGTAAATTAATAATCACAGAAATAAGCCAGTTGTGGTCTACTAGGCACCCTGAATACAAGAAAAGAGTCGAAGAGTTAATTCCTTTTGCTTGTCTGTCTGTTTGTTTGTTGTATCCAATAAACGTCAAAACGGCTGAACCGATTTGACCCAAAATTTTTAAGTTTTACAATTACGCAGAAAAAATGACAGCATGAAAAGCAGCCTTCACCCATATAATTTGCGGTTTTAAAAATTAAATTAAGGAAACTTAGTTTCGTGTTTTCGTTTTGTTGTTAATGGATTTTTGTGATAAAATAGAACAAACATTTATTAATTGTCTATCGTTTTGCTTTGAATAAATTAAATTATACTTTGTGAATATGGTTTGTGGATTTTTGATTTGATTTGGAATATTTGAGTGAGCTCTTTACCTGAAATTAGATTTGAATAAATGTGAAAAGATGCATCCAATCATCTCTCCTTCACACGACACCGAACCTTCTCCAGGGTTGAGATCAGCAGAACAATGAACGTAATAACTTGAAGAAAGAAAATATTTTTAATTTTAGATTTAACTTTGTCAAGCATTCCTCTCAGATAAAATAAAAGTTTGGCAAAATCTTTCAAAACTTAAATTCTAAATTCTAAAAAGTTTCTGAAATTGAGAAAAGTTTTGAATCACACTTTCCTTGTATCTAGTTCTAGGTTAGAACAGAACTTGGTGGAGATAACATCTTCTCTCTTCAGGATTCAACATTCAGGGTTCAAGATTTGTCAGTTGGACGGATTAAAGATTTGTCAGTTGGACGGACTCAAGATTTGTCATTATTGGACGGATTCAAGATTTGTCAGTAAGATGGATTCAAGATTTGGCAGTAGGACGGATTCAAGATTTGTCAGTTGGACGGATTAAAGATTTGTCAGTTGGACGGACTCAAGATTTGTCATTATTGGACGGATTCAAGATTTGTCAGTAAGATGGATTCAAGATTTGGCAGTAGGACGGATTCAAAATTTGTCAGCTAGACGGATGCAAGATTTGTCAGTTGGATGGATTTAAGATTTGTCATTATTGGACGGATTCAAGATTTGTCAGTAGGACGGATTCCAGATTTGTCGTTATTGGACGGATTCAAGATTTGTCAGTAGGACAGATCCAAGATTTTTAATTGTAGGATGGATTTAAGATTTGTCAGTAGGACGGATTGAAGATTTGTCAGTAGAACGGATTAAAGATTTCAGACGACGCTACAACACCTGCTCTAATGCCATTTGCTCTATTGACATTTCCTCTATATTGACCTTTTGCTCTACATCCTTATAGATGTTTGCTGTTTCACATTATTTGCTCTATTACTAAACAGGTCATTTGCTCTATAAACAAATCTAAGACTTTATTAGATTAATTTCTAGAATGTTCTATAAACTAAAAGAAACTAAAAGACAAGGAGAATGCTAAGCTGCCTGTATTGTTGTGTTCTGTAGACAGCTACAGGTTACAGTGCTCCCGATCAATCTAAATAGAAACAATGGTTCTCCTGGTCGATATCAAGGAATATAAAACTAATGAATAAGTGGATATGGGTATATTTACATTCTACTATGTATGACGTACTAGGATAGCTCTAGGACTAGTTTAAACTAGCGTAAACAAACGACATATAGCAAATATATCAGGTCTGGGAAGGTTTGGAGAAGTAGTATCATTTCGTGGACAGCTTTATAACATTATTATTATATTTAAACATATTTGATATTTATATATCTATTTATAAATTTAGCTTGTCTGTCTGTCTGTTTGTTTGTTTGTATCCAATAAACGGCTAAACCGATCGGGCACAATTTTTTTGTTGGACATCACGTGACCACAGGGAAGGTTTATGAATGATAAAAATTTTAAAAAAAACGTGTTTTAAAGGTTTTTATTTTGTATAAAAGTTTAAATGCTTCAAAATCCGCGATTTTTTTTAAATCGCAACATTTTTTCTTCTTTATTTTAAAATGTAAACAAAAACGTTCACAATGTTCACAATTTAAAATAGAATATGCGCGCGAAGCGCCCTAAAAGCCTAGTATATTTATAAATTGATAAGATGAAGTTGAAGATTGAAATTTGGCATCAAAAAAACTTTAAAAGAATTGAATTTGAATGAAATTAAACTAACGTGACTTAAAGAATGAAATTAGAAAGTTATGTGATTAGGATGATAAGAATGATATTATTCAGAAAAAGAGATTAGAAGGTTGAGATTCATTTTAAAAGAATTATTTTAGTAGGATTTAAAAAATAATCCAGGGACCAAATGAAATGAGTAGCAAAAAGTAGTTAGATTACATAGACTACGTTGAACCACTTCTCTTGAACTTGAAATTAAAGTGGTTCAAATTGGTCCAAAAAGTACTTTTTGTAATTTAGTAAAAGAAATGCCACAATCTCAAATTTTCTAATTGAAATCTGAGTCCGAATTGAATGAATTTGAGTCGCGTCTCAAATCCGCCAAAAACCGGTTTCAATTGAGCGCCAGCTAAAATCTTGAAACATTGAATACAATCTTAAGTGGAACCAACTATACCGTAGCCGCGACTTAAATTTAAGCCGCGGCTCACTCAAATTCTTTAAATTCGGCCTTTGATGGTTTAAAATTTTTATATTTCAAACTTAGTTTATTTGATCCAACATAATTCATACCTCGAAATATCAAAGGTTTACGTCATTTGGTTATAGGGATATAGGGATTTTAAAATCAGAGTTTGTGACAAAGGCTGAACTCATTTGTTCCAAGGTATATTAAGGAAGGAAGGATATAATCCATGCCTACCTTGTAACAGCTAGAGTTGTTGTTTTATCATATTTTTGACAATCCCAGATACACTCAAACCTCTCAGATCTTTAGCAGGCATTGATAAACGACAAATCATTGATAGAACGTAGGTTTAGGATCATGAATTAAGGAAATTATCTAAAAAAGGATGAGACTTCAGAGACGACTTTACTGAGTTTATACTGTCTGTTTCCTGATATTTATGATGTCCTGCCACTGTAAACTTGTTTCTTTTCTTTAGAAAATCAAAAAAAAACATTAAAAGACTACATATATCAAAGGAAAACATTAAAAGACTACATATATCAAAGGAAAACATTAAAAGACTACATATATCAAAAGAAAAAGACTATTTAACATCCAGATCGTCCTATTATACCAGAGTGTCAGATCGTCTTTACAGTCTCATCCTTTGTGGTTAACCCTGTATCTACTTATTTGTCGAAATAAGTTATTTTGTCATTCATTAAAAATATAAAAATTGAAGTTTTGTCACGTTTTAATTTTCATTGTTATTTGTAAAATATGTATTATTTTAATATTTCTGAAAAGGAAAAAACTGTGAATTTGCTGCTCTCCTATTGAATGATTTAAGGTTTATATCCAGGGTCCAATTCAGATCCTCAGGTTGGATACAACCATGATAGCTGTAGGGTTTCCTGTATCCACATAGATCTGTTTTAGGATACTCACACTCCTCTCTTATACAATACACCCTGAGAAAAAAATAAAACAAGTGTTTTTAACTTTTAATCGATGACAATAAAACCATGTTTTTCAGTCGCCAAAGTAAATACAATTTGACCAAAAACTTAGAAAACTTAGATTAAAAATCCTAATTAGGCTGAGGGTTCATGGCTTTTTTTATACTTTTACATGACCATAGGATCGAATAAAGAGTAAGAATTAATTTATAATTTAACTTTATTTCTGTCTTTACGTTTTATTTGAAGTTCCCCAACCTACTAGATCTTTAAAGAAGAAAAGAAAATATGCATTAGAGAAACTTTTAATGAACAGGTCAACACAATGATTAAATGTTTTGTTTTTAAAGACTTATCGTTTTTAAATTTTTAGAAAGTAATATGTATATAGGAACGGGAGCGTGAGGACGAGAGGTTAGAAGGGGAGGGGGTATTTAGGAACGGGAGCGTGAGGACGAGAGGTTAGAAGGGGAGGGGGTATTTAGGAACGGGAGCGTGAGGACGAGAGGTTAGAAGGGGGGGGGGAGGTATTGTAGGATTTTTGTAAAGCTATAGTGCAATGAACCAATTTCGAACTAATTTCAAGGTTGGTTGGATTTCCGTTGAAGTGTAGAAGTATTACCAGGGAATAGATTTCATTTTAACAAATGAAAGTCTATTATTTTTTAATTGTTTCAATTTTGAACAATGAAAAATTTGTTTAAAACTATTTGAATTCATACTTTTATATAATGTTTCGATAAGGTGAACCAGTAGAGTGTGTCAGTTATCAGCATATTTAGGCAAATAAAGGGATATTATGGATTTAACACATGGATAGAGGATACAGGATGAAACCTCTACCTGAGAAGATCCTTGCTTGCATCTCCACACTTCGCCCAAACCAGAGTTTTAACTTGACTGATAGGTTTAGAATTACAGGGAGGATTAGAACCTGGAGATGGGTCATTAATATGAAATAGAACCAGGAGAAGGAAGATTCATGGTAGAACTAGAATCAGGAGAATGGTAGAACTAGAACCTGGGGAAGGATGATAAATGGTAGAACTAGAACCAGGAGAAGGATGATTAATGGTAGAACTAGACCCAGAAGATGGATGATAAATGGTAGAACTAGACCCAGGAGAACGATGATTAATGGTAAACTAGACCCAGAAGATGGATGATAAATGGTAGAACTAGACCCAGGAGAAGGTTGATTAATGGTAGAACTAGAACCAGGAGAAGGATGATTAATGGTAGAACTAGACACAGGAGAAGGATGATTAATGGTAGATCTTGAACCTGGAAAAGGATGATAAATGGTAAAACTAGAACCTGGAGAAAGATTATTAATGGTAGAACTAAAACCTGGAAAAGAATTATTAATGGTAGAACTAGAACCAGGAGAAGGATGATTAATGGAAAAAACTAGACCCAGGAGAAGGATGATTAATGGTAGAACTAGAACCTGGAGAAGGATGATTAATGGTAGAACTAGAACCTGGAGAAAGATGATTAATGGTAGAACAGGAACCTTGTGAAGGATTATTATTGGTAGAACTAGAACCTGGCGAAGGATGATTAAAGGTAGAACTAGAACCTGGTGAAGGATTATTAATGGTAAGAATAGAACCTTGGGAAGGATGATTAATGGTAGAACTAGAACCTGGTGAAGGATTATTAATAGTAGAACTAAACCTGGTAAAGGATGATTAATGGTAGAACTAAACCCGGAGAAGAATGATTAATGGTAGAACTAGAACCTAGAGAAAGATAATCAATGGTAGAAATAAACCAGAAAAAGGACGTTTAAAGATAGAAAAAGAGCCCGGAGAAAGATTAAGGATTGTATTGAAAGGACTAAACCTTTACCAGGAGAAGGTTAAATTCTTCTCATTATTCATTGAGTTACAATGTAGGGAATATTTATTTGAGTTTTAATTACTTTCTCCGGAGCAAATATCTCCTTAAATATTTAATCTAAAATTCTAATTTTGAAATTAAAAAAATATTTACGTGGGATTTAAAAAAAAGTATATGGTTTAGGTTCCTTGAATTGTCCTCCAGGACACGGAACCTCGCACTCCGATAAATCAACCTTGGACCTTCCTTCAACTAAGTAAGTAAGTAAGTAAGTAAGTAAGTAAGTAAGTAAGTAAGTAATTAATTAAGTAAGTAAGTAAGTAATTTTTTATTCTTGAATAAAACAAAAACATACAAAATTAAGTGTTTTAGGAGAAAATTATTGAAAAACCCTTCAAAAATAGAGGTTGTGGGAATATTTCCCTCCAATTCTAAAAAATAAAATAAATAATTATTGTTAGTATTAAACCATTGAGAAAGTTTAATCAAGGTCTGTGTAAAATCGTAACATTGTTTTTTTAATAACGATGTCCCCATATATATCAATACAAAATCGCTAACTAAAATGGTGGTATAAATACAGAGGCTGACATGTATTGCAATACAGTATCCGGTTCTGAAACACTACTGAATACAGAGGTGTTACTGTATATACCAATGAATTATCAGGTCCTAGAATTGTATCATATCACCATATTAGTGACCGACACTATATTGATATATATGCTGACCACTGTACATCCAACGAACTCTCTTTGATTACTCAGAGTGTTAAAAAGGGGTCTGATTAATTATTCGAGTTTTAAATGGGATTTTGATGTTTGATTGAACTCATTTAAAAAATGTTTGTGTATTCAAACCTGAATCTGAAGCACCACAAATACAGTTGAAACTGGCTCTGCATGCAAAAAAAAAACATATTTAACCAAATTTTTTCACAAAAATGCATCATAACATAATGCAATAGTTGAAATAAACTAGTTTAAAGGTGAGCTTTTAATGGAATATTCGGAATCTAGTCGCAGCGCTCGCCCCCTCCCCCCTACAGCCTACGGTGCCTCGGAAGACCTAACCTAACCTTTGGGAAGATGCCGCTTGGGAAATTGAACATTTGGGAAGGTGCCACTGGAGAAATTGTCACTTTAGAATTCGCCCTTGGGAAATTGCCTTTGATAAATTCCCTAACAACGTTCCAAGATCGTTTTAAATATAATTTAGGGAACAACTGCATCCACATAAAAAAGTAGTAAGAAAAGTTTTGTTTAGCTGTCCTACCCCCTTTTTAAGATCTTCAACCCCCTTAATTTGAATACCTGAAAAAAGTTGAATCTGAATGACTGACCATCACATAAACAGTTCTAGGTTGTTCTAGCAGACAATGGGAGATACAGGACTCAAGAGAATACTATGAATTCAAGAGAATACTATGAATTCAAGAGAATACTATGAATTCAAGAGAACATTATGAATTCAAGAGAACACTATGAATTCAAGAGAATATTATGAATTCAAGAGAATACTATAAATTCAAGAGAATACAATGAATTCAAGAGAATACTATGAATTCAAGAGAATATTATGGATTCAAGAGAATATTATGAATTCAAGAGAATACTATGAATTCAAGAGAATACTATGAATTCAAGAGAATACTATGAATTCAAGAGAATACTATGAATTCAAGAGAATACTATAAATTCAAGAGAATTCTATGAGTTCAAGAGAATACTATGAATTCAAGAGAATTCTATGAATTCAAGAGAATTCTATGAATTCAAGAGAATACTATGAATTCAAGAGAATATAAATTCAAGAGAATTCTATGAGTTCAAGAGAATTCTATGAATTCAAGAGAATTCTATGAATTCAAGAGAATATTATGAATTCAAGAGAATACTATGAATTCAGGAGAATTCTATGAATTCAAGAGAATACTATAAATTCAAGAGAATACTATGAGTTCAAGATACTATGAATTCAAGAGAATATTATGAATTCAAGAGAATACTATGAATTTTAGAGAATACTATGAATTTAAGAGAATTCTATGAATTCAAGAGAATACTATGAATTCAAGAGAATACTATGAATTCATAGTATTCTCTAAAATTCATAATATTCTCTTGAATTCATAGTATTCTCTTGAATTCATAATATTCTCTTGAATTCATAGTATTCTCTTGAATTCATAATATTCTCTTGAATTCATAGTATTCTCTTGAATTCAAGAGAATACAATGAATTCAAGAGAATTCTATGAATTCAAGAGAATACTATGAATTCAAGAGAATTCTATGAATTCAAGAGAACACTATGAATTCAAGAGAATACTATGAATTCAAGAGAATACTATGAATTCAAGAGAATACTATGAATTCAAGAGAATACTTTGAATTCAAGAGAATGCTATGAATTCTGTTAGATCAAATAATTTATCAAATAATATTAAAGATTTACACCAGGAAATCTCATGAAAATGTTCAGCATTTCAGCTTTAATATAACAATGACTTATTTTAGATATTTTTTTAATTTCCAACTAATTAAAAATGAGAACAGATTTAGACATTTTATTACATTCTGTTTCACTATAATTTTACCTCCTTTAGGTCTTTAGAAGAAACTAAGCAAAGCATTTTCTCTTAAGATAAAGTCATAATCGATTAAACACATTTGTACAAATAAAGTAAAATTTTTTATTAATTTTTTAAAAAAGAGCAGTTTTGTTTCCGAGACAAAATTCCATTCTAATCACTGAAAATAGTGAAGTTTGAGAAAAGTTTGAAAGAGAAAAGTTTGCTTCCCAAAATGAAGTTTTTTCAAGTCAAGAGTAGTTTCATGAAGACAGAACTCGTCTAAATCAGGGTTCAAGTTTACTCTCAATACAAATTCAATAAAATAAACATGGATTTAGGAAAAAAAGGTAAACCTTTAAAATAAACTTGATTACGATCAAAAAAGAAAGAAAGAGAAACCTAGATAGAAAATAAAAACAACAAAAAATACCTAGAACTAAAACAGGAACAAGAATAGAAGCAAAAACATAAACAATTCTAAGACACAAGCCCACAAAAGAAAGAGACAAGGAAAAACAGGACAAGAGAATTAAGAGAAAATGAAAAAGGAGAAAAGAACCCTAAGACCAGGACGGAATGGTTTCAAATGATGTAAATCTTGGTTTCCCTGCAGGTTCTCTACCGGATAAGTTCCGTTGTATCTCCGAATTATCATCTCTCTGAGCATATGAAGACCTGGAACTGAGGACCTGGAGTAAAAGTATAATCAATACAGGTCTCATGTTCCTCTAATACTGGACATATGAAGCTGAACATACAGGTCTAAATTATTTTCCACAAATTTTATCAAAAAAGGAAGATTTTTTACTTTTTATAAATATTATAAATATCATTTTCAATCTAAAACATCTGAATTTTAAATTGGTCAATAGAAGTATTTTCTTTCAAGTTTAAAGGCAAACATAACATTTACACAAAATTAAAAGTTTAAATCATTTTTGAAGATCCGTAAGAATTTTATTGATTTATTGATTGCGCCAAATTGTTTACAATATGTATACTAGGAGAAAGGACGAATTAGAGAGAGATCTATAAAGATGACGGGAGCATCACAAGTGTTAAATAAAATAAAGGAATTCAGTTTAAGTGACAACATTTTTATCGTAATATTTAATTTTTTTTTTTTTTGCTAAGGGTGGGTTTTGATATGTCTATTGTCTAAAGGTTTAGTAATTTGATATGTCTATTGTCTAAAGGTTTAGTGCTTTGATATGTCTATTGGCTAAGGGTTCAGGGCTATGATATGTCTGTTGTCTAAGGGTTAAGTCATGTCTATTGGCTAAGGGTTCACGGTTATGACATGTCTATTGGCTAAGGGTTCAGGTCTATGATATGTCTTGAGTATAATATTGTCTATGGTGGTTTACAAACTATTAATGTGTGTATCAACTACTCGGCAAAGTATCTACACAATAAGAGATAATTGTTTTCTTTTTATTTCTTCTCATTAGGTTTATAGAGAGGATAATCTATAATCAATTCATCTCATTTGTATAATGAATTATACATATGTATATATGTATAAATAAAATATATAAATATATATGTGCATTTACTTATATAAAAATGTCTACTAACAATATGGTTGTAATGCACCTAGTTTTACCAGTAACTTTATTTCAAATTCTTGTTATAGAAACACTTGTTCCTAAAATTATATAAAAATTTCAGTAAAATTATTTTTTTGATACATTTTCAAAACTTGTTGACGACCTTACAGTTAAACTCTTTATAAATGTCGATACATAGGTTAGAATTGGGGTTTCTACCCATTCAATAAAGTTGTAAAAAAAATTTTTGCAAAGAAAGAAAAAAATTCACAGTTGCAGGAAACTATCTTATACTCTAGGTTGAATTAAATCTTATGTCTTAGAGTCATTCATTTTTTATTAATGATTTTACAAAAAAAACGAGTTTGCAGTTGCAGGAATTCAAAAATGTAAGGAAAAAGAAAGAATAAATTCCGTACAGTCGTCTCTTAAGTCTCATCCTTTGTAGGTAACCCTGTATGCAAGAAAAAAGAAGAAATGTCGTAAAGTTTAATTTATTGTTGGTAACCTGGTGTCCTCCTTATTATATTTTATCTCTGGTGACCTCCTTATTATATTTTATCCCTGGTGACCTCCTTATTATATTTTATCCCTGGTGACCCCCTTATTATATTTTATTTAATATTTTAACAAGATATTTGAGAAATAATGAAGATATAGAAATTTTTTAGTTTTTCTTCAATAGATATTTCTCTGGTTTGAATTGTGCTTTATGGATTATTTATCGTTCTAATACAATACAGGGAGAACCATTTAACAGTGGAATTAAACTGGTCTTAAATTTTCGTAGTATAGGTAACTTTAATGGCCCTAAACCTGATCAATTGAAAAAAAAGGATGATTAGGGTTTTAACCCTATTGCGGCAGGGGAGGGGGGGATAACTCAAAAAGTATTGGTTTGAGGCTGTTCGATTTTTTTTACTTTTCTAACTAACACATGCCCCTCCGTTTAAGCTCAAAGCGGGAATTTTATACCTATTGCTTAAGTTCTCAGGCATACTGCCTGAATGCCTTATTTTACCTTTGCCTGACTAAATCATATAACAGTGCATGATCACCCTTAATTGTATTGATGTCCCTCTCTCCCTTTTTGTTTTGCTAAATTGTAATTTCAGCCTCAGCGCTGAACATTCTACTTTCATGTGACAGGTCTCCTGCACTTCAAGTTAGTTATTATTTGCAGCCAGGGAGCAATAGCTTCCCTGCTATGAACCGCATATTTTTACTTTTCTGTACAAGGAGGGTTGCTATTCAACGAAGGATAATCAAGTGACCCGCTCAGAGGTAACTTTGTTGTAGGATCCAACAGAGCAATGTCCTAGAGTCTCATTTCACTGCTTGTGAGAAGGTTATATGGTAGGAAGAGGAGAGTGGAGATGAGGATAAGGGTTTGTACGAGTGACTATCAGGAATGTTTCGTTAAAAAGCACTCCATTTGTTCACATTTTATACTGTTTCCCAGTCCAGCGGAATTCCTCAGAAAGTATCGCATTTAGTGTGCATCGCTGCATGCAGAATGCGGAGTTGTCCCCTTTTATCAGCTCTCCTTAGGGAGCAGGGTCAGGGCCCTTCCAGAAAGGGCTCCGATCGCTAAGTGGAGTAGATATAAAACCGGATTAGTATTAGACATATTAGCTCTTTGTTATTTGTATTTCTTGACTTAGTACCCCGGTCGTGGGTACTGTAGTTTAGTTGTATAGATCTATATATTTATAATATTAAAGAATAGTACGGATTGTATATATCTATATGTCTAAGATTAAGGAATAGTACGGATTGTATAGATCTATATATGTCTAAGATTAAAGAATAGGACGGATTGTATAGATCTATATCTCTAAGATTAAAGAATAGGACGGGTTGTATAGATCTATATATTTCTAAGATTAAAGAATAGTAAGGATTGTATAGATCTATATATGTCTAAGATTAAAGAATAGGACGGATTGTATAGATCTATATGCGTCTAATATTAAAGAATAGGACGGACTGTATAGATCTTTATATTTCTAAGATTAAAGAATAGGACGGATTAAATAGATCTATATATGTCTAAGATTAAAGAATAGGACGGATTGTATAGATCTATATGCGTCTAATATTAAAGAATAGGACGGACTGTATAGATCTATGTATGTCTAAGATTAAAGAATAGGATGATGTATTAAGAAGTTTTTATGTTTTCTAGATGAACCATATAATCGTGTACATCTGTAGTAAGTATGTCAATCTAAGAATTCAGGGTTGTTTTTGCTCCAGCAAACCCTTGCTTTGATTAGATCCCATAGAACCCTCTCAACTCTTTTTGCTGGAAGAACTGAAAGCCCCTGGTTACAGTTTCTGAGTCAAGTATACAACATAAAGTAATCAATGAACCAGTTCAAACAAGAAAATAAGTTACTACTATTTAACACAACTTTTTTCTCTGCAAATCTAAAAAATGATAAAATTCCTAACAACTATTGTTTGTTGAAAAATTCATTTTATTTGAAAATTTCTATGAAATCTTGCTGAAATGATTTTCTTCATATCCCCCTCCCCTCTTCCTTCTAAGTGAAAAGAATAAAATTAAAATTATGTAAAACTACAAAATTGAAAGTTTTGAAGATCTGCACTGAGAGTGCATTCTTCAACATGATCGAAAAATGCCGCAATTATAAACTTGATGCATTCTTGTCATCTTTTAATAGATAATGTTTTATAATAAAATAAAAAAGTAAAAAGTAATATTTCGTGACGAAACTAAAGAATTTGAGAAATCACTAAGAAAAGTAAGGGGTTTAATAATGTAAGGATAGATATGTAGTGAGCAAAGTGTACAAATTATTCTGTATGAGAACTGGGAAGAATATCCATAGATAAATAAATAAACATAGATAGCTTATGTACGCAAAATCACCAAGAATTGTACAGTCCGCGAAATCACACTTCTTTTTTAGACCAGNACACTTGATCTAGGATAATTTACTCTACCACCCTCCACCCTTTAAGTCTAGGGTTTGGTACACACTACACAACTCATGACAAAAATAACGGAGATTTTATTTTAAAAATCATCTTACATTTTTTCAGTTCAAAATTTATCTTTCCCAACTCCTTAAACCTTTCTGTAGATAATTTAGTTTTCATTCAAATTCTGAATTCTTTAAATCATTGATCAATAGGCTACTGTACCATTTATATCTATGTCTCTGATCTAAGATTGCTCAATTGAGACCAACGTTAGAGCGCTCTGTGTGTTTTATCTATACATGAGAAATGACCTAGAAACTTGAACCTGGAGCAATATCTCTGGAGACTTTACTCCTGGAATAGAATTACCACGAACCATGTTCAACGATTCAAAATTCAAAATACTTTTTTTTACAAAATCTTATTGTTGTTTTATCAGGAACTATGAAACCAAAGATGTTATGTTTAAAAATATTTCACATTTTTAGGAGTGAATGGAGAAAATGGAAGGTTATGAGTTATGGAGGGGTAAGGAAGAGAGTATGCGGCAGAGTAAGGATCTTATGCAGTATAGGGATTGTATGAAAGGGTGTACATTGAATTGTATAAAGTGTATGGATCGTATGGAGTGTATGCAGGCCCGTAACTGGATGCTTTTAAATAGGAGGAAGGGTGCGCGAGGCCAGGGGTTGCAAGAGGGCAACGACCCCCTTCTTAGAAAATTTTTGATTTTTCTGTCTGAAAACCACGTTTTTTACTTTAAATTGGTGAAGTGTTCCAATCTTTTTCATTGCTTAATTTCATATCATTGAAATGTCATCAACACAGCATTGAACAATAATATCTGGAAACAAATTATTTTTATTGATATAATGCAATAAATGTATAATAAATATTTGTAAAAAAAAACTGTTTAAAATTTGCAAAATGAAACAGGGCAGATATTGTTAAATAATTGAATAAATGAAATACTCTGGAATAGGAAGTTGACTTTTAGACTTAAGTTAATAGTTCACACTGTTGAAAATGATTTTTTTACTACAATATGTCTTTTGACTGTTCATGAAAAGTTACAAAATTTGAGACCCTTTCATTAACATTTCAAAAAATATTGTAAAAAAACCCAGAAGAAGCATATTAAAGGCTTTAAACTAAATTTACGTTTAACTTTAGTCCTGTAAAAGCACTTGATTTCTGAGATATCTTTAAAATGGATTTGCGGAAAATTCCCTAGGTGGCATTTTCTGAAAATTGAGATTATAACTCAGTAATAGACTGCATATTAACATCTTCTGAAGAAAAAGTTTAGGTGTTTTGACTTGAAACCTGATGGTGCATTTACAGCAGTGTGAGGTATAATAGTTTTCGTTTTCCAACAGGGTTGGGGGCCCTATAGGAACACAGAGCGCGGGCGAACGCCCCCCCTCCCACCTTAGTTACGGCCGTGAGTGTATGGATTGAATGGAGTGTACGGATTGCATATGTAAGCTTAAGTAAGAGGATGTTTAGTAATGATTAAAAATGTAAATGTATCTAAACTCTGCTCTGGTTCAGAGAATATAAAGATGAGTAATTATCCTTGATTTCCCTCTGGGGCTAATTTTCCTCCAACCAAAGGGGAATACAAGGGTAACATTACCAGGATTCTCACTTCCAACAGGAGACTATTCAGGGGGCTTCTACGGACTCAAAAGGTTCCACATTTGGATCATTGTCAGGGGTATCTGGGATTTTATCGTATAGGAGGGAAAGGGGGGGGGGGTGAAAGTAACTCTTTGTTTGAGAGTAGGAGAATGTTTTGAGACTTCTCAAGTTCTCAACAATTAAACCCAATATAATCTACTCCACCAATTATTCCCAACCTAACCCACTCCTCAGTCCTTACTCTACCAACTAATCCCAAACCAACCTTCTCCTTAGTCCTAACTCCACCAACCAATCCCAACATAATCTACTCCTTATGTCCTATTTCCACGCACCAATCACAACATAACCTACTCCTTAGTCCTAACTCCACCAACCAGTCCCAAACTTATTTATACTTAGTAGCCCTTACTCCACCAACCAGTCCCAAACTTATCTACTACTTAGTAGCCCTTACTCTACCAGTCAGTCCAAAACTAATCTACTCATTAGACCTTACTCCACCAGTCAGTCCAAAACTAATCTACTCATTAGACCTTACTCCACCAGTCAGTCCAAAACTAATCTACTCATTAGACCTTACTCCACCAGTCTGCAACAAAAGCTTCAACTACTATTCCTCTAATTATCCCAACCTAAGAATCCTAAACTACATGTCTCACTCGCTTAACCTATGTACTAAATAGCTACTCTACCGCATAGAAACTATAGAAACCTTTTCGAACCATCGCAAAATATTTCTAAAAATACAAGATCTTAATTATTATCAAGCTCATCTTAATGGTAATATAAGAAATATGGTACAAAATTATGGTTCTAAAAATGTATTCCGATAAAATGAAAATAAATGATAAAGAGCTGGAACAAATATGAGAGGTTTAATTCGCGAACTTCGCTCACTGATTAATATAGTAATCGTGCCTTATCACGCCCTAAAATAGGAAGACGATATTTACACGCCATAGAGATAATCATTTCTCATTTCAACGTTTTTTTTTCACTCCGAGGATATTGTTGTCTTCGTAGAATTTATACTTATCTCTTTAAAATTAAAGATTATTCATATGGTTTTATTAAAAAATAAATAAGCATCTATAGGATAGGGGACCTGGAGTAAGGATTGAGAAAGCTGGAGTCTTTATTGCGTCTGCGCAGAGTACAGTTTATAATTCACAAGCAGCACTAGCAGACATACACAGACTCGGAGATACAAGAATTTAATAGTGTCTGATGACCGCAAATTCAAGCTCAGGTTAAGTTTTACCAACATATAGGAAATATCGGTAAATTTAGGAAAATCGTAGATTTGTCAAGTTACCATTCTTTAAGGAAAATATTTAAACATCGTTGATATCAAATACCGATTTCTGTGGCAATTGTTAGTGAACTGTTTAGTTCATCATACATAGCACTTTTATTGATTTAGTATATTTTTTTTTAACCAAAGTATTATTATAAATATTGCCACCCCATTTATGTTTATGTACATTAATCGATTAAAGAGATATTTTTAAACCCATTTGTCCTATATTTTTCAAGGAAACTGTTGATGAGAATATATCCCACAGTCAATTATTTTGTTTTAATTCCTTGTCCGGTGTATTTAGATTTCACTCTGTTTTGCCAACTTTTTCTAAATGTGTCTTAATAGTTATTATTATATTTTAACTAAGATTATATGCGTAGTTTAGCTATCTCTTTGACAATTTTACCTCTCTTTTATCCATCCTTGACCCATCCTTGATTTATTTTTCATTTCTCCTTGATCTCTCCTTGATCTCTCCTTGATCTCTCCTTGATCCCGCCTTGATCTCTCCTTGATCTCTCCTTGGTATTTTCTTGATTTCTCCATGATCTCTTCTTGATTTCTACTTAATTTGTTCTTGATTTCTCCTTGATCACTCCTTGATCTCTCATTAATATTTTCTTGATTTCTCCTTGATCCATCCTTGATTTCTGCTTGATCTCTCCTTGATCAATCTTCATTTTTTTCCTTGATCTCCTTAATCCATCCTTGATCTCTCCTTGATTTCTACTTGATCTCTCCTTGATTTCTCATTAATCTCTCCTTGACTCTCCTTTAAATCTCCTTGATCTCTTATGGATCTCTCCTTGATCTATTATTGGTATCTTCTTGATCTCTTATTTGTATCTTCTTGATCTCTTCTCTGCTTACACTCTCTTTGACCTTTCCCTGATCTTTTTTGATCTCTGCTTTACTTCTTTAGCAATTTCATTATTATTTCTGGACTTTTTTTTAATTGTCTTGATTTTTCTTTAATCTCTTTTTGATCTCTCCTTGATCACTCCTTGATCTCTCATTGATCTCTCAAAAATCTTTTATTGACCTCTCCTTGATCTCTCTTAGATATCTCCTAGATATTTCCTAGATCTTCTTGATCTCTCCTTGATCTCTCCTTGATCTCTCCTTGATCTCTCCTTGATCTCTCCTTGATCTCTCCTTGATCTCTCCTTGATCTCTCCTGGTCTAAGTGATGTACTGAAGATATTGTAAATAGACGGAAATGTTTATGTTTACAATCTACAAATACTATTTCTGATTACTGAATGCTGAATCCACATCTAAACGTTCTAAATCTTTTACACTAACAAATCAAATAAAAACTCAAGGGTTCTTATTTTTGCAAAAAGATTTATATTTTTCTTATATTGAAAACTATTACTCTAGGGTGCTTCGTGCCCGCCTTGTAATATCATTTTTTTATCAAAGGTTTTTCTTTTTTTCTTTTGTAAACGAACATCTTCCCTTCTAACTTTGTAAAATAATTAAAGATTTCGCAGACATTTTATTACTGAAATTCCAAGAATAAAAAATGGAGTCAAATTTGTTTAATTTTTTACGTCCATTAACTTTTCCTGTTGTTATATGAGGTCCAACTAAAATGTGGAAACACTTGGTTTAATCTGTTTTGACGTTTTTCAGATTTAAACAAACGAACAGAACCAAATACTATAGACTTTAAAAAAAACATTTCACACTTGCTTTCTATTATTCGTTAACAGGTTAATCATCTATGCATTTAGATACATGATTTTTAACATTATTGTATTTTAATTATTAAATGTTGTAGGCGGGTGGGTGGCGGTGTCCAGAAAAGGGATGGATGGTGGTAGAGGCGGAGGCGGGCGGAGTCCTACCAGAGCTCATGTGACCGGCGTGAAGTTAATAAGTTCTTTGGAGCTGTCTCCCCCCTCCCCTCCATCCAACCAGTTCTCTGCATCACCGGTCAACTCTGTTAATACAGGTAGGAACTGCTACCGATCATAATATATCGGCATAAAATGATACGATATGTTTCAGCATACGATCACAAGATATCAGCATAGAATGATACGATCACAATATTTCGGCATAAAATCACAATATTTCGGAATAAAAGTCACAATATTTCGGAATAAAAATCACAATATTTCAGCATAAAATCAAAATGTTTCAGCATAAGATCACAAGATATCGACATGCGTTCATTCACAAGATGCTGGCACACAATCACATTATTTCGGTATAAAATCACATTCGTATTGGTATATAATCACATTATTTTGGTATACAATCACATTATTTTGGTAAACAATCACATTATTTTGGTATACAATCACATTATTTTGGTATATAATCACATTATTTTGGTATAAAATCACATTGTTTTGGTAAACAATCACATTATTTTGGTATAAAATCACATTGTTTTGGTAAACAATCACATTATTTTGGTATAAAATCACATTGTTTATTTTGGTATATAATCACATTATTTTGGTATATAATCACATTGTTTTGGCATATAATCACATTATTTAGTATATAATCACTTTGTTTTGGTTTACAATCACATTATTTTGGTATAAAATCACATTGTTTTAGTATAAAATCACATTGTTTTGGTATAAAATCACTTTGTTTTGGTATAAAATCACATTGTTTTGGTAAACAATCACATTATTTTGGTATAGAATCACATTGTTTGGGTATAAAATCACATTGTTTTAATATAAAATCACTTTGTTTTGGTAAACAATCACATTATTTTGGTATAGAATCACATTGTTTGGGTATAAAATCACATTGTTTTAGTATAAAATCACTTTGTTTTGGTAAACAATCACATTATTTTGGGTATAACAATTGTATTCACAGCTTACAATCAGAAAACACGTGATTTTTTATTTGTTAAAAAAGAACTACACTGACGAAAAGCATCTCCATGATATATATATTTATCAGTTAGTTTCAACACGTTTAAATATTAGGTCAATAGTACTAAAGGTGTGAGCAGGTCATATCATGTTTAATTTTGAATCAGTAGACTGTAAAATCAAAAACTAAAAAATCGGAAAATACGATTAAATTTCTATTAATAGACTTAAACCTTATTCAAAGCTGAGCTAAGCATTTTTACACCTAGAAGTTAAAAAATGTTTTGAAAAATGTGTTAAAAATTATCCAACTTGTTGTTTGGTTTTTTTATTTCGAAATTATAAAGTTTCTCTTTGTTGTTTGTACAAAAACGAGAGAAAACAAATACATTTTTAATATTTTCTTTTCTGAATTGTTTATCTTGTTTGAAAAATAGAAAAAATCTTTCTCTAAATGTTTCCCCCTGACTTGATTTAGTAAACAATGACGTTATTTTTCCCTCCATTTTGAACCTAAACATATCTCAGTTCTAATTTAGTTGAGAGGTCGTTTTCCATTATTCTTTGATCGAGTAGACCCACGCTCAACACAATGTGTATTACACAGTTTTTATCTGCTCCGTCTAAACCAGCAATCCATCTCCGTCCCGTGGTATATCCAGCCCTACCCGGAGATGGGAATACTCGTCCTGGTTTAGAAACTAGCTCCAGAGAATTTGAATAAAACTGAAAACTATAAAGATAAAATAAAGGTTGGAAAGAGAGGAAGTTATCATGATAAAATTCAGAATTCCAGCAATATGTGAGAGGATACTGAATTTTTTATGAAACTTGGTCTTGTGCTCACTTCAAATATTGTAAAAGTATAAAGAAGAGAAGGATATTGGTGTAAAGAGGGGGCTTCAGGTCAAATAGAAACATATTTACACGACTTAGCTTAATACATTTATTATTTATGCATTTTTCAGAGTTTGATGTATTAACCCCGTTTTTAAATATTTCTATTTTCTATCCGAAACTGTTTAGATTAAAAGATTGAACAGAGTTTAAGAAAGTAATCTAAAATAAAACTCTTTATTTTTACTTTTTTTTATTAAAAATAGTAAATTTGGGAAAAGATAAAATATCTACATACTAGAAATTCAAGGCGCTTCGCGCCCTTCTTTTTAGGCTTTTACGCGCCCATCTTTATTTAAATTGTGAACATGTTCTTTTTGTTTACATTTAAAAAAAAGAAGAAAAGAATTTTGCGGATTTTCAAAAAAAATTCGCGGATTTTCAAGAATTTAAATTTTTTACAAAATTAAAAACCTTTAAAATACATTTTTTAAAATTTTTTTTCATTCATAAACCTTCCCTGTGGTCACGTGATGTCCCACACAAAATTTGGGCCCGATCGGTTCAGCCGTTTTGATGTTTATTGGATACAAACAAACAAACAAACAGACAGACAAGCCAAATTTATATATAGACTAGCCTTAGTGGGCGCTTCGCGCCCATCTTCTAAATTAATTGTGAACATGTTCTCTTTGTGTACATCGTAAAACAAAACAAAAATAATTCGCGGATTTTCAAAATTTTCAAAAATTTAATGACGATCGAATTTTGATGGAGACAAATATTTAAAATTTCAATCATTCATAAACCTTCCCTGGGGTCCCTAGATGTCCCACAAAAAATTTGGGCCCGATCGGTTCAGCCGTTTTGACGTTTATTGGATACAGACAAACAGACAGACAAGCCAAATTTATATATAGATTTAGATATATATTGAGTTTACTCCGTCATTAAACAATAAATAGACTAATATCAAATCACACCAATTTATCAAAGTCTTGCATAATAAATAGAAATTCTTCATTTTTTTATTAATCTTAACATAAAAGTGATTGGTCAGTTAAATCACGTCACTTTAAATTACGATGAAACGATTGAAATTTTTATTCGAATTTAAGATTAAAATATTTAAATTTAAACGATTTGAGTCTTTACCATAAACTAGAATTTTCTAATCCTTTACTCTTTGCAACCTTATGGTTTACACCTTTGATATTTCAAACTTGGATTATTTAATTAACAGAATTCATAGTTGGAAATATCTAAGGTCTACCATATTGGGTTGCAAAGATAAAGAATTTGGAAAATCAGATTTTGTAACAAAAACTCAATTCCTTCAGCTTCATATTCTCGCAATCAGTAACTGATTATTTGATTGTAATAGATTAATTGAAATAAACAGATAGGACACTAAATCTCGTTTTTCCCCCCAGATTTAGGGGCTTTTCGTTCACAATAACCCTGAGGCAGAAGCCCAAAGGAGTTATGCGCAGTTGGCGTAGATTAGGTTCTCTCCGTCTTGTAATTCTACGCCGACTGCGCGTAACTCCTTCGGGCGTCTGCCCTAAATCTTGAAAAGACGACGTATAGTGTTATTTTAATTAATCTATGCTGTACACTGTTCAGTATGGTTGATTTTGTCCAGTCCGCCAGTTTCACTTTTTTTTATTTAATCCAGTGGAGAAGGTTTATAATAAAATATAGGATAGGAATAAATGCCGATTTTTACAGATACTTTTTTCAAAGTTTGGTAGTTTTCCTAGCTTAAAAATTCTTCATTAAATGATGGGTCACGTGAAATTTCGTGTACAATCCCTTTAAGAAGCGCAGCTGAAGATCCCCTTGCATTCTTCGGCAACACTTCCTTTATTATCTATCGATGCACAATCTTGAGAGTATTTGTACATAAATATATATGTATATATTATATATATTGTAAAAATAAAGCGATGTATATAATATTTCTCCTGCAAATATTGTTGTTCTCGTGAAAACCTTAGGGAAGAAATATTGCTCTAATAACTAGTATACAGATCCTAGTTCACGTATTCAAATCCTCTCAACCTCCTCCTTTATACAGATTTATTCATCCTATACAACAGTTTTATATCGGACAGAATGACCCTACAGCGATATAACAGAATAATAATATTAAAAGGATCTCTAGGGTCCAGTAGCCTAGTACTAGAATACAGTCTTTATGCACAAAGTTTGATTTATTCTTTAGGGCTTTTACGTGTATTGTACATGTTAAGTACATGTTAAACAGATTTACAAAAAATTGAATTGGTTCTAAAAGCCTAAGCACAGTTGACAAAATATAATTTACAGCATCTTTGTTTGAGATGAAATTTAAGTCATAGACTTAAACTTGATCTTATTTAAAAGTTTTCAACTCGGAACCAACAATTCATTCATTCATTGACTTCTCTGATTTCCTTTAAAATGTCGTCGAAGAGTTAATATTTCTGTAAAATTTCAACTCCTGGTTCTAATTTCTCTGTACTTCAGTTTGTATGATGTATCTACAACAGTTTCTCTTATAATCTGTGTAAGTGGTTAAGTTGGGTTCGAAGAAAGAGAAGAAATTTTACACTTAACATTACCATCAAACCAATGGTTTCATCACTCCGCCAAAAATTTTGACTGAAATAAGAGAATTTACATTTACACAGAGATAATAGGGGGATAGAGTGAAAGATATAATCAAACATAAAGGATGTCAAAAATTGGCGCAAATTAAAAAGATGCTTAAAAGACACGTATTTCATAGAACTTTTTTTAACATTACAAATAAATCTATCATTTTTATTTCTAAAAGTTGTTAGTTCATCGTCGAAAAATGCTAACAATCCACCACCAATTTATATTAAATAAAGTGTAAAAAATATATATGTAACTTTCCTTTCCTTTTCCTTTTATTTCTATCTTTATATTTTTTTAGGATTGGGGAGAAATATTCCCACAACCTTTGCTTTAAGAGGTTTTTAAATATTTTCTCTTGAAACACTTAATTTTGTATGTTTTTGTTATATTTCATCAATAAATAATTTTTTACTTTTTACTTTCCCCCAAGAAGCTCCGGGGGGTGGGCAAAAAATTCCCGCATACGCCCTTGGATGATTTTTAATATCTTGGAAGCACTAAATACTAATATGAATTGGACAGGTTTCCTGGGTTTGGCAAGGATTAGAAATGAAAGAGAGAAACCTCAGAGCAAATCCATTTCTTGTCTACTTGATGAAGAGCGTACTTTTACGATATTAGTATG